GCTGGGAAATCTAACAAAGATTTTGGTTTATCTGGTTCATAGTAGGGGCTCTTTCAAGTTTGCTGATGCTTGCCTCCTTGCTATATGTTCTTAAGGAAGAACAGGAAAGAGGCCTCTCTCAATGGGCCCTGGTCCAATTTAAGAGAACACTGGCCTCATAATCTAATCATCTCCCAAAGTTTATAACTCCTAATTGTACCAGGAAGTGATATCAACCTATGAATGGACATCAACATATGAATAAAATTATTTTATTGAAAAAATATTTTGTTGATCATTCAGTTCCTTTCAAATCTATGCCTAGCCTCATGTATGTAATTTGCACCCTATAATAATTTCCTAGTGTGATATTATTATAATAATATCAGTGAAAAACTTACACAGTGCTGACTGTGAACCCTGGACAGAACAGAGAGATTTATGTGTATTATGAAGTCATTCTTCAAAACAACCCTATCTGGTACAGTTTATAATATTATATTATCTTTTGTCAATAATTAGTTTACTCAAAGGTGTACATTAATAAATGGAGATATCCAGGACTGCACTGTTTGACTACAAACACCATGGTCTTTATTTTGCAACATAATAATGTCAAAGTATGAGAACATTTTTATTACTCTTTGATAGATTTTGAAGTACAGATGTTCCTCTGCTTGCAGTGAGGTGACTTCTCTACAAGCCTATTATAAGTAGAAAATATCATAAGTTCAAAATGCATTTAACACAACTAACCTACTGAGCATCATCATAGGTAGTAGCACCAAAGTGCACTATAGAGTACTGGTGTTTACCCTCAAGGTCACTGAGCTGACTGGAAACTGGCTTGTGTTCTTGCCCAGTGTTTTGAGAGAGTATCATATAGTATACCACTACCAGGGAAAAAAAATAAATAAAACTTTAAACTACAATTTCTATTGAGCATGTATTGCTTTTGAACCACCTTATAGTTGAAAAATTGAAGGTGGAACTATTGTTAGGTTGAGGACCCTCCATATGATTTTCTAAAAGTTTCATGATATGTTTTAGTATCTTTGGTCACTTACAAGTGTGGCACTATCTACATTGATTTCTTCAGTACTGAGTACTATCATTTATTGTTGCTTTATTTTAAAATGAGTAAATGATACGGTCTTAGTTTTATTCATTTTAACAATTATAGTGAAAATATTTTCTGCCTAATCAAAGTATTTTTGTGAACTTACTCTTCCTGTCTTTCTGTCATTTATCTAGTGGCATCTTACTGCTTTACTTATCCACTATATGATCGCTTGTTTAAGAAATTAAATCATCATTTATCCACAGCTTGCAGTCTTGCTTTTCTGATGTAGTATGTTTGAGAATCTCTTCCCTAGAGATATAATCACCTTGCTTCCACGGGAGGGAGGTTATCTTGCTAACATTAGCACATTTCATACATATATTGATCAAGGTTTGGCTAAACAATTTCATTCGAATCTTCCTGGGTCCAGAAAACTTCTGTTATCATGTTTTAATCTTCTGAAGGATAAATCGAAGTATCTTGTTAATAACAAAGACCAACAGTTTTTTTTATGATAATCTTGAGGGCTAAACTATTTTAAACTTGGATAATAATGATCTTGTTATAACTGCATCCAGTTACTTACAGAGTTCCAGGTGCTAAAAACTAATGGGAATGCAGATGTACCTGTGTTGAACCATAGCTCACAGAAATTAGATTGGCTGCTATTTCTAGCACATTTTGGTTTCTATTTCTGTTATCTCTGATGCTTGTAAGCATTTTCAAGTGCATATATGAATATTTATTGATAAAGGAAAGCATATTTTTATACCATCTGGTGCTAAGGTGTTATAGTAATAGCATCCTCAAAATTTATCCCAAAATGCTTATTTGGGCAGTTATTATTCAACTTTACATTTTCAGAGAAAAGGAATGTAAGTTTTAATTCTCTTAAAAAATTTTAATGCTTTGACCACTGAATCCTTAGAAAATGTAAAGAAATGATTTATTTTTAAGATACTTTGGTCATTTTGTATTTATATGAATTGATCTATATATAATGGCTGAGTTATATTCTAAATGGGAATATTAAACATGGTAATATCATATGGATCATGAAAAAATCATTTCCTCTAAGATCTATTCTACTACATTGATTATATTATTAAGAGTATCATAACCCACTTGAATCAAAGTGTGAAATATGATATGTCAAGAACTATGTAATGTTTTGAACAACCAACAATAAAAAATTAAAAAAATAATAAATTAAAAAAAAGAGTATATTATTGGGCTGGGGATGTGGCTCAAGAGTTAGCATGCTTGCCTGGCATGCGCAGGGCGCTGGGTTCGATCCTAAACACCACATAAAAATAAAGATGTTGTGTGGACTGAAAACTAAAAAATAAATATTAAAAAATTCTCTCTTTCTCTTTTTTCTCTCTCTCTCTCTAAAAAAAGAGTATATTATTAAGAGCAATAACTAATATTTTTATTCCAAAATATATGATAAGTTGAAAACTGATCGAAGTACAATATAAGTAATTTCTCATTCTTTTTTTCACAAAACTGATAAGATCCATTTTTATCACTATTTTATAGATTCAACCTAAACATAGTCTAGTTACATTCTAGTTACTTAAGTTACTCCCAGTGATTTATCCAGAGCCTCTTAAAGCAATCCAAAGAAAGCATCATTGGAAAACCTAAATCAATGTTTGGTAAAAATAAAAGTGATTTTGCATGGCTTCAAGTCTTTTGATTAAATTTTATCAAAATGATAAAGTAAAATTCTATTTATAGGTAAGATGATTTAAATTCTTTAGGACTAAAATATGTGAATTTGTTGTTCTAGTGAATTGCATGGCAATGAATGTGTGTGATGTGTGTATGTACCAATTTGAAGACAGAATGCTTATAATTTTTTCAAGTTAAGAGAATTTAATAGAATGTTCTTATTATTTTTAAAATCATTGAAGTTTTTCTTGAATATTGGAATGATGAGCAATATGAAACCAATTCTATTAGATAATGTCCAATCACAATGCAGTTATTTTTCTAAGCACAGATCTGTATGAGTTTATAAACTGCAAATTCTCAGGCAGAGGAAAGTTTGTCCTTTATGAGGAATTTCTTACTAAAAACTGATCAATACACTTGTCAATAATTAGTAATAATTTATTGAGTTGGAATTCATGGATATAATTAACAGATGTGTGCAAACTTGTATGTGTTAGTAGATATGAGTAAATTGAGATGATTGTGTTGTTATTAACAATTATGGTAAAACGTGGTTATTCATTACATTTCAACTATGAAGAAAACCTAAAAGATCAAGGAATCATCTTCATTCCAAGAAACTAACACTCTAAGAAATAGGGTCAAACTTTTTTTAAAAGGCCAAGTGGTAAATGTTTTAGCTTTGCAAGCCATGTGCCTTTGTCACACCTATTTTACTCTGCTGTGGCAGCACTGAAGAATCCATAACCATCTTCTAATGAGACTGGCAAACTTCCAGTAAAACTATATTTACCAAAACACATGGTTTCCTGGATTAGGCCCATGGGCCATAGCTTGTCTGCCTCTAATCTGAGTGCTAAGACAAGGTAGAAGCTATATAAAGTTAACTTAAATACAATTTTAGTAATTGTTTAATACATCAATGAAATAGGTGTAAATATAAAAAAAAAATTGTCATCTATTTTATAAAAGTTTTACCTATTCATATAGTATCTTAATATTTTAATATGGTATGACTCTGGTTTTTAACATATCTGCAATGCAAATTATTATTTGAAATATTCTTTAAATTATCATAAGTATTAAAATTGAAAATAGTGTCATAGTATCCCTATTGCTTATAAGGATTCCATTTTAGTGACAGCCAAACCCACAGATACTTAGTCAGACTTAAAATTAGAACGTCACAAATGCTGGGGGAATAAGGTATAAAGCATTGTCTACTTTTCCTCTGAAAATTATCCATTGGAATTTGATTTGGAAATAGTAGTCTGGCTTTATTAACATTTGCAAATTCATTGGGTATTTATATTTTATTTTCTTCCCTTTATATAAAATAAAGTCAATATATTTCAAGTAAAGTTAAAAAACAAATTTTTATAAAAGCCTAGACCTGCTGGTATATCATTACTGAGATTATCATTACTGAGTTCTCATTACAGTTCTCTTGAAATCAGTTTAAATGCTATTCATAAAAGTAAACCAAACTGAATGCATTGAAGCACTAAATAACTTCTGCCATAAGTTTTCATGGTTTCTATCAATAAAGTTCACTTTATTGGAGAACTTTGTATTTACTGGAGTTTTTAACATGAATATATGGAAAATTAAAAATAACCTTGTACTTTGCAATATGCAGAAGAGTGAATGGATTATATACAACTTGCATTTTTAATACAGCTATTGCTCTACAAATATATAAATATACATATTTAGAGTTGCATTTTTAAAATCTGAAATGTAAATTTAAATTGGAAGCCTTCTATAAGTGATTGAAGAAGTCACATAAGCATTAAATTTTCAATATGCTGTGATAACTAATACCACTGGCAATATGAAATCAGTGGGTCAAATTAATAAGACCTATTACTGGAAACTTGCATGCTGTATGAAACACATGTATTTAAAAGGTTATTTAGAATGACTTCCAAATGTAAATTTTGGGGAAATTTCTTAAGGAAAGAGATGTTTAAATGGGCTTACATATTTATTTATATATCTATATATTTAATTGCATACAATTGATTAAAGTATGTTGGCTCATTATATTTCCTATTGAATAATCATTTTAAGTAAGATAAAAATAACTAATGTAACTCTGTATTTCTTAAATCCATAAGTGCTTCTTAAACTGAAAGCCATGGTGGAAAAACTTACTATATGCATTTAGAGATTTTTTATTTTGATGAGCAGACACTTGAGTAAATCCAGTGTCTTTTTCTATATTTGAGGGAGTGGGATCTCTTCCTTATCCTGGGCTCTCTTGTTTGCTTTTCAGTTGCTGCGAATGTGGCTGTGGGAGGGCTTCTTCCCTGTGCGCTGTTGCCCATCCAAGCCTAATATGGTTAGTGTTCCCTCCCGCTTTCACTCCCAGGTGATGTCCACCTCTATGTATTACTGTCAGCATTCCTTTTCTTTCTCCATTTGTGTACATTTTGACACTTGGTGCACCAGTTACACTTTAACAGTGAAAAAAGTAGATGAAACTGGTTCCCAAAGGTAAATCCTAATAAGTGATTTCACAATAAATTATTTTTAACTAAAGTATTATACATATAGCACATCATCTCTATGTCAAGCATTCATAGTTCTCTTCTGCAGCTTTTACTGAGATTCTGATTTGAAATAGGAACTTGTAAGATTATAGCATCTGTTCCACATTTAACATGTCACTGTTTTTGTTGTTCCATTCAGTATAATCCATATCACATGTGGAAGTACAGTACTACTTCTGTCAAGGTTAAATCACCTTTTCTGTCTCCCAGAAACATGGAATGACCATAATGTAATTGGGATCTTCAATTGTCATACTCATTGTGGATACATGTGGCATTGATATACAAAACCACATATAACTTTAAATGGTTTACCTAATTTTATTAAGCTTGAATTATTTCAGATATTTGAAGTGATATTCCTATTTTGATACCACTGAACAAAAATATGTAAATTTGTGGAATCAGTGTCTAAATGGTATAGTCTCAATTATTTATGAGTTAAAATTATTAAGAAATACCTGGGTTATAACAATAACACAATAGACTGGAAAAATAAGACCTGAGAACTCTCATCCTAGGTTTTGGGAAATTCCTACATATTACTGAGCCACTTTATAAAAATTGAAGTACTCCAGGTAATTCCTTTATAAAGAGTCTAAAGCATTGAATTATTTTATTGAGTTCTCATTTGTTATCAAAATTTACCAAGAAACAATTTTTAAAATGCCTTTAAAAGAATTATAGAGTTTCTTTCATAACATCATTTAAATTGGTTTCTTATATTCCCTAAGTTTTATTACTTTTTGTTGAAGTAAAAAAGCTTTGTAAATGAGTGTGCACACATGTGCACAGATGAGAAATGGTGGAATGGATACCAGAAATATTTGGATCAAAGAAGAGTAAAAAAACACAGCCTGATGTAAATCAAAGATCTTTCTCTCATTCTCTTGAAAGCTTTGTATTTGAAAAAAAAAAGTTTTGAAGTTAATATGAAAGCACAGATTTTTGTGTATCATTTACTTCACACAGGAATATCTTCTGGACATGAGGCTTCAGTGACAAAACAGATAAATACTGCAATCTGACAATAGCAAAACTATAAAATGTAAATGACTTTACATTGTGATTTTTCTACTGTGCTATGAAAAAATACAACATAGTTGTTAAATTGCCTATTCTACCTCAGTCTCAAGTACAGTGTTTTAAGAGATAACTTATCACTAAATTAGAATAGATAGAATTTACATTTTAGAAAGAAAGAAGACTGATATCCATGCCTATGTTGAAGTAAATGTCAAAGAAACTTAACTGGGAACATGAACATTAATGAGCCCATGACTTAGTAAGTATTGGCAAAGATGAACTTCAACTAGATTGAATTAATGAATTTTTAAAAAGTTTTACATTGTGATTTTACATTGTTTTTACATTGTGATTTTTCTACTGTGTCTTTGAAAGAAGGAAAGTGGGAAGACACCTTCTTTGCAAGGAATACACCAGAAAAAAACAACATAAAAACTTTTGCTTAATGTCTTTTGTGAAACAGTGTTAGGAATTGTGGAGGCAAATAATGGTTTGTCTGTGTAAATGTGAACTTGTCTGTGTGTATATGGAAAAAACTTATTTAGTCACAGATACTCTTAGTTACTTTTCAGGGGAAGCTGGAAAATCTGAAATCTGTCACTGAATTTTGTGTGTATAGTCATACCAGCCTCTGTTAATTATCATATAAATAATTTTCAAGAAACTCTATCATCATCATCATTTATGAACAGGCACATTTTCAAATACTTTTAGACATTTTGGATCTTGAAATCTCTTTTTTTCATTTCTTGAAATAAATACATGTGTGGTTGGTTTTGACCTTATTATAACATAATGCTTTTATTACAATTGTATAGTCGTTGACCTTTAGAAATACCTTGAGATACTATATGGAAATATATTGAGCTACCTTGAGACACTTTGAAATACTTGTGGAATAAACTTTGTGGAAATAAAACTTTCAGCACCAGCAATCTACATCCTTGTTTCTGTAGTTCAGCCTTAACAAAGCTTCTACAAGGTGCTGATGTTGAGTTTTGATTTCTGTCCTAGTTCCCTCCAGAAAGGCACAATCTACTATTTTTCCCATGGCATGTTTTACTATTTAAAATGTGAGATCTGTTTTTACATGTTTCCATCTTTCATCCTTGGTCTTAAATTATTTTTATGACTTGTAACTGTTTGCTTTGTTATGACATCCATAAACATCATGTTAATATTCCAGATATTCTCCCTGCTTCGACTGAAATCTACTGTGATTCTGTAGATATTTCTATAGTTATTTCTGTAATATTTCTGATTGCTAGTCATATGCCTAAAATTAAAATGTCCTTTCCCTACAACTGCCAACATTTTTAGCAAAGGTACTCTTTTCAATGGCCTGTGCCTTTAAGCCCTCATATCTGGCTCAGAGTCTAGTCATTGTCTCACATCTCAAAATAATTTTTTTTCACAAACAAGGAATGTTGAATTGATTGTAATCAATTTAATCATATATGACATAAAATAGATATTTAATTTCTAAAATAATGTTACCATTTATTCCTGAAGTCTCTCGTGTTTGGGCTGATGGAAACCAATATCAATCCATAGTATATTATTTTTATGTCAATCTGAAATATCCTAGAGTCTCCAAAATAGCCATTTCTAGATTTCTTAAATTCAAATACACCAGTGTATTACCCTTGTTCATTATTTTTCATACTTTAAAGTGTTTATGTGTCCTTTAGTATTTCTTCAGAAGGGTTTAAGTGTCAAAGGAAAAAAACTTTTAAGTATTTTGAAATTAGAGATGTTGAATTGTTATTTTTTGCACTTGCCTATTCTGTTTGGAAAATCATTCATTTTTTTAAATAAACCAACTTTCTTATTTAAAAATATTTTTAACCAGTAATGAGATAAATTCTACTTCCTCTTAAGATGCAGATATTAAAATATTTTATAATGCAATTGTTAAAAACAAACATCTCTGGCCAAAGGTGAATTTTTTGAAGCATTATTATCTAAATTTTTCAACAAACTATTTTCTTTTTATATTAAGTACATAAGTTTATAATAATTTGAAGTAGGAAGATTTTTACCTTCACATATACATTTCAGAGACTATTTATTCATTCTTACAAGATGTCAGTCACGGAAATGTACATAAGTATTCTTCCCTTTTAGAAAGCATAAAAGTAGCATAAAAAATAAAAAAAATCTTTTGTTATAATTCTAGACCTCCATTTAGAGTTTTTTGTACTTGAAATATGTGCTGAACATATTAAATTCCAATTGAAGGCTTGATGTGTAAAATGTAACTAAGAATTTCTCCAAGGTCCCCTTTAAAAAAAAAATACTGTAGAACTTCAGATTGTAAGAGATAATAAATGAGTCTACTCTAAGATTTTCAGAGAACATCTATGAAATAGTTAAAAGTTAATAGGAAATTACCCATTCTAACATTAGAACAATACTTGTTGGAAAAAGGGAAATTAAATCTCATATGTCATATTTTGTGAAATGTTATATAACAATTCTAAGTGAATTAAAATTTAATTTAATTTTGAAAATAGTCTAAGTATTTGAAAAATTACAGGTCTTCCTACTAGGTAATTCTAAAAGGATTTTGAGAATTCAAAAATGGAAGATTTACAAATTTATGTGTACTGTATATTTTTGAAGGTGTTACTTGACTTTCTTATCTTTTTTTAGAATGTACAGATAACAATAACATCTAAGTCATAAAATAAGATAAATTAGCTTCTCATATGCTACTAATCACAGGATGGTTTGTGACCTTGATCAAATGGGAGATGGTGACTCAATTGCATCATTCCTGGGTTCAAGGAGTCTATGTTTTCAGGATGAGTATATTTCTATTGAAAAGTATACTTAAGAATTTTCAATAAGTAGTGACAGATTAGTTGCACGCTTTGTTTTTGTAGATCTATCTATAGAGAATTCAAACTCTAGTGTCCAGGTATTACAAATGAAGGAAATATGGATGAGAGTCATGAGGTTGTGCTGGCAAGCTATCCTAAATGTCTGTCCCATTCTTGTGGAAGAATGCTCGAACATAAATAAAATTTCACCTATTTTCAATGTGAATTAAATATATTAAAAGCAATGTTCATGTGCTTCTTTATCTTATGAGACTGAGTTAGCTGAATTTTTATTAAAACTACCTTTGTTTAATTGGAGAGAATTCTGAAATGAAAACGTCAAAGTCTTTTCCCAAAAGCTATAACCTATTATCTTCAAGATTCCAAAAATAAAAATCTTTAAATACAACATTATACAGTGGTTGAAATCATTATTATGGCAGATTAAGAAATGTAGTTTTAAAAGAGACTAAATTAAGTGCTTTTATTTTTCCATGAGAAAAACACATAGAGGTGAATATTATAATTTGGAGTTTTCTTTTTGGAACATTTTTACTTTAAAGTGTAGAAAGATTATTTCTTAAATATTCTGGAAATTAGAGAAGCAATACAGGAGTATCTGATTCATAGTCAAGCACTGCATGTTCTTATTCTTTTAAAGAAATCAAAATTCAAAACCATTCTCCCTTCTACCACTGTAGCCCACCTATTCTTATTTAGATTAATTTGAAAATAATTATTCAGTATTTGTTTCTTTTGGCTAAAACGTTAAAAACAAAATACGATTGTATGGAGGCTGTTGTTGAGTAAGGATTCATACTCTTTTGGCTATTCTATTCACTTGTCTTATCTCATTGGCCACAAGGGTGCCATTTAGTAAATTAGTGATCCTGTGCACTGCTTGGTACTCTGGAGTGTTTGACATTAATATTTTAAATTTATTATCATATCCTAAATTTATACCGAGAACTAAATTATTAATTGGCACCTCCATTTATACACAAAACTATTGTTTTCTATTTCATGTATTATGGAAATTTCAAATATACAAGTTAAATATGGTGGCTTTGAATGGGTTTTTAAGATCCACATGAATATTATCAGGCATGTGTTGCCAAACTCCTTAGGATAGGTATGGGAGAAAATGGAACAATGTATACATTTACCCTTAAAGTCATTGCTATATTTTTTATATCAAGCACCTCTCTCTAGGACTGTAATAAATATTAATGAATAAATATTAGTTGAATATTATATCTCTTTTATAAAACCCATCTATAAAAGTATCTTGTTTTCTAGAACATGAATTAAAATTGGTATATAAAGCAGGATGAAGAAACTGTTTCTTTTTCATTCAGAAAAAAAGTAACTCAGAAAATAGGAGGCTTATTTTATGTTCAGAATGACATGTTTATTGACTTTGTTTGATTGGTTAAAATTATGCATCTGGAGCAAGAACAGAAGATGACTTAGAATGAGCTGGCTTCCTTGCCATGCTTTGTTAATGAGGCTGAACCACTGCTTGAGTGCCAATCTTCACCAGCTGTACTTTTACTTTCTGTACCTTGTTGAGGCTTGTTTTAATGATGCTTTGGAGGGTTCCAGAACTTAATTTTATATGTTAATGTGACTTGCAGCCGTATATGTTACAGAGCTCTAGAGATGCCCATAGTCGAAAATAACTCCTTTCTATTGCCCTCCTGACTCTTACCCTAGGTAATAAAATTTTAACTGCTTCACACCAAGGTATTTCCAAATCATTTTTTAGAGGAGATACAATGTTTTATTTCCATTTCCATATGAGAAATTTGCATACAATTTAAATACCTGGAGGCTATTTAATGGTAAAGGCTATTGGAAATTACCATTTTGAAAGCTTATTATTTATTTATTCTTTGGACATGAGAGTTTAAGGTAGAATGGATGTTTGTAAACTGAAAGAATATGTGTTCTTTTTGGTTTCCTTAGAATTTTTCTAACAAAGTCTTTTGTCAGTATTTAAATAACATGAATCTCAGGGTGATTTCACACAATTGTATTTAAAGCATTGTAAAAAGAAATATCAATAAATGTTCTCTCTAGAGGTGCATGCATTAAAACCCAAAAGAAAAATGAAATAACTAAAAATTATGAAAAATGTACTAAAGTAACATAAATCTTAGCTTGAACAGACCAAATATAATTTCATGTATTTGTTTTTTCTCTCCATTTCACTGTGATGAGGTGACTCAAAATGAATTAAGGGCTCTTGAAGGACAAATGCATCTATCTGAAAAGTCACCAGATCTCTGTAGTATATTTTCCTCACCCAAGAATACTATATGTATTAAGTATATTATTTCAAGTTTATTCAAAAATTTTCTAGGTGTATTTTTCTAATAAGGTACCAGTTTCTTAATATAATAAAGACAACTGTATTTTTTCAAAATGTGGCTTAAGGATTGGAGGTTTTGACCAATTCCTAATATATATGTAAATTATGGAAATGACAGAACAAAATGTGTCATATTTTTAGATCAAAATATAGAATTTTTTTAAATACCCCAGAATATGGAACATTCTGTTGGTAAATGTCTATTGTACACTTCATTTCTGTCACATAGTAGTTTTCAGCCAATCTTATAATGATAATAATTCATCAATCTACCATTTTGACTGTATTTTCTTAAATGAACTAATAAATGAAAAATTTATTTGCAATGAACTCAGTTTTGTGGTGGAATCTTATGAATAGTAAAATCACTTCCTTTGAGTTTCACCAAAAATAATTTAAATATTCTCATTTTAGTTAGTTGTTTAATGTTATATGGTCAATCATGTACCACATTGACTCAGTATTCATCAGCATAGTTCTTTCTAAACACCTGTCATTGTGTAGACACAAAGTATCATTCACTCATTCCATCTATTCATTCATCAACATGATAAAACTGTTTAATGCCCACTCAGAATCAGGAGTTTATAGATGAATACCAGTTGCTGCCATTCAAGAAGCAGAAAAATACTAGGAAAGCTAAAAATCTTACTCCAATGCCTCTATTGTGCTATAGAGTGTAAATTGTATCAGAAGAGGAGTAGATAAAGCTGTTTGTTCAGAGGGAAATTACATTAAATTGGTGTTTCAAGGGAAATATGAAGGGAAAAACCAAACAAGACTATGATAGTTGAACATTGTTAGAATTAAAATCCTTGGTGAAGAAACCAATACGAACAAATGTTTGAAAGCAATGGAGGAAGATAATGCAGAAAATGTGAGTTGAAGTTATACTTAGGAATATTTACATTCTTATTTTTTTGAAAAAATTTTAGTAAGAATCTTATTTAATAGAAAAAAATATTCAGTACTTTGGTTGTAGCCATGTCTACCATAGTCAAAGAAAAGCATTATAGAGTATAGAGTGGAGGAACATTATTTTGAAGGCATTTATAATAACCCAAATGAAAAATAACAGAGCCTTAATTGAGGAAGTGGTAGAGTTAATTGAGGAAAAAGAAGAGTTGGATTGTAAACTATTTACATTGCATAATATTTTTTGGTAACTAATTTGTTGTGAAGGGTAGAATCAGGATCTAGCTCACTCCAGGAGTTTGTCCCTTAAGATTAATGTAGCCTTAAGGGACAAAGGCTATATTACTGTTAATAACAGAAAAATAAAATGGATCATAACTGAAGGAGGGTAAAGAGATATAATGTTTTCCTTTTCAGGACTATTGAGTTTGAATGACAGTGGAATACAGATAAGTAAATAAAATAAATCTAGCAGAAATAAGAATAAATCCTCAAAATAAATTATATAAGAGAGATATTGGTTTAAATACATTGATGAAATGAATGGATTAAAAGGAGAGCAATAGGGAAGTTCATGCAGAGGACCTTTGGATATGTCCATATATAAATATAGAGAGGAACAAGAGTGTTGGAGAATATTTTTGGATTTTAGTGCATCAAGAATGATTAAAAACTAAGAGAAAGGCTTTGGGTTGGAGTTTAAGTTGTTTTTAGTGAACCTCTGAACAGATTTTTATTAGAAAGGAGAGCAGATTGCAAGGAGTTCACAATTAGGGAATAGTTGATAAAATCAGGAGAGATTAAGATTTAGGGAATAGAGCTGATAGGTATAGGTTGTGTAAATTTTCATGGTGATCTGAGTAGATAAGAATGGAAAGCAGCTGTTGGAGCAACTTAAGTCTCTATAACAAGAAGGGAAAACCAAAATTACCAAAAACATTCAAGACAGGTGCTGAAGGTTGGAGACAGTTAGCTCAGAGGCACATGTTGGGCAACTCATCCTCAAAGAGATAATGGCCTGGGAGCTGGTTAAAAAAGTAAGAGGAACAGAACAGAAAAAAATGTCTGGAGTATGGTATGTGGTAAAGTGAACTTAAAACATAGGTTTGTATGGCTTCAGACCTCTTAACGAAATCTAGACAAGATTATTTGCTGAGAGTGAGGAATACTGGCTGGAAAAAAAAAAAAGAGGTTTCATTCAAAAGGAATTTGAATGGCATTTCTTATAGGAGTCTGAACATCAGTTCAGGGGTGTGGTAATTTCAGTTGTGTTTCATGCTTTGGGCTTGATGTGGTTGACTCACCACTTCAGATGTGGTTAATTGCAGCTTACTTTGTTCCAGGCGATGTGGCTACAGCAAAGCAAAGCAAGATCCAGAAGAGGAAAAGATGCATTTTCATAATGGGCACAGTAAGCAGATTGTGAAAAAAAAAAAAGGGTGGGGGAGGAATTTTATTGTTATTTAGAATTCTTTTTAGGTTAGAGGATTTATAATCCCTGGTCAAAAATATTGTTATAAAAGCAAGTCTCTCACATTCTTACAAAGAATATGGGCTTGAGCTTTGCTGACTGGCTATAGGCATTAACTGGAGGATTTCTTCAATTCTTTAAAGAATGTTCTCATTATAATTATTAAAATAAAAATTTTGGCCTAATATAAAAAAGTTATTACATTTCAAATCAAATTCCCAGGCTACTTCTAATTCCTTGCAACACACTGTATAGAAATCTATCATTACATAACCACCAGGTTAAATGAATAAAATTTCTCAATTCCTTCTAGCATTATATAGTATGAATTTCTGTGAATAGATCCGATGGCAGCAGCCTTAGTTCAAATTGAAAAGCATTAACTACATTTTTAAAAGAGCATAAAATCAAGTTTTTATAATGAGCTTATAAAATTAATCTAAATGAATTTTAATTATAGTATTTTAATATGTTCATTTTCCTCTAAATAGTGCAGCATAAGGTGATTTGCCAGATAAATGGAAAATTTTTTTTTCTTTGTTTTTGCCACTCTACCATGACTATTACCTATGGAAAGCATGAGTCCATTTCATAGTCCTATCTCGTTTAATATTGTTTAACTTCAAAATGCACTGTTTGGGTAGTATCAGTAGCCTTTAAAGAAGATAAACTGAAACTCGAAGAACATAAAGGTTGGGGTAAAGTCATGCAGTGACAGAGGCAGAAGGAGAAGTAGAGCTCTTTTTCTTTTGACTTCTCTACTAAGCTCTTTGTACCATACCACCAGAAGGTTCTTTTAAAATGTGTTTTGAGGGGCTGAGGTTGTAGCTCAGTGGTAGAGCATTTGCCCGGCATGTGCAAGGCACTGGGTTTGAGCCTCAGCACCACATAAAAATAAATAAATAAATGAAGGTATTGTGTCCATCTACAACTAAAATGTCTTTTGGGGGCTGGGGTTGTAGCTCAGTGGTAGAGCATTTGCCTAGCATGTGTGAGGGTTAGATTCTCAGCACTGCATATGAATAAAAAAAGAAAATAAAGATCCATAGAACTAAAAAAAATATTTTTTTAAAGTGTATTTTGAAAAACACAAATTAATAATCTCTGGTGATGTTTTTAAGTGAAACATAGAATAAGCAACCAACAAATAAACTACTAATATTTTGCTGTCCAGATTAATAAACAAATGTTTTTGATATGCCTCCAACCCAACTGTCTGAATATTATCATTGAAAGCTGTATTTATCATCATGTATGCATTTCTTGTGTATGTCAACAATCCAGATGTTAAAAATATTTTACGAAGTAACATTGCTATACAAAGGACTCTCATAACTCAGGAGAGGGCTTATCCTTGCAGCTCAGTTACTTCAAATTTAAGCCATGTTAGGGTGTTAATAAAATATATACTTTTGCTCATCCATCACAGCTTGTATTTTAATACACATTTTTTTTAAAGTTAAACTGCCAGGTGTAAGAACCTATATTGATCCACATACCTATGAGGATCCCAATCAAGCTGTCCATGAGTTTGCCAAGGAAATTGAAGCTTCATGTATCACCATTGAAAGAGTTATTGGAGCAGGTATGACAGTGTATAACTCTTACATTTTGCTTGTATTATGGAATGTAATACATCACTGTCCTGCTCTAACACATAATGTTTTTAATCTTACATAATTGACTTGCTTTCAAAGTGGTATGTAATTTATCTCATGGTAATGTCACTTTCTGTGTTCTTCATGCTTAACAATCACATCTGGTTTATTAAAGAAAAAAAATGCAAAAATATGTTTTCAAGTAGATAATGTTTTTCAATCTATTTTTTGTATACATATAGTAAATTTGTATAGAAAAGTATTCACATAGTTCAGTTTATCTTTTTCCAGCAATTGTTTTCTTTTTATCCAGCTATAAACTTTTTTTATTTTTTTCTCTTCTCATTAATAGTAAGTTTCATTAGAGTAGACAGGAGAGGAAATAGTAAGTGCTTTTTATGCTGTTGCTTTTAATTTCTTTTTTAACATTTCCATTAAGATTTTTATAGGTGAGACAGATAAAGCTAATAAATCTTAACATGTTTTATGATCATCTGTGGATGATTTTTCCTAATATACCAATGATTCTTTCTGTTAATATTCACAATGAAATTTGAACTCCCCTTTTAAAATTTTTTTTCTGGTCTATGTCTTAAAACTCTGAGTTATTAGAGTGTTAATAGAATAAGAATTTCAAATAAGCTTTCAAAATTTCTTTGCCATCTTTATCACCAGGTGAATTTGGTGAAGTTTGTAGTGGACGTTTGAAACTACCAGGAAAAAGAGAGCTACCTGTGGCTATCAAAACCCTTAAAGTTGGCTACACAGAAAAACAACGTAGAGATTTCCTGGGTGAAGCAAGTATCATGGGGCAGTTTGACCATCCTAACATCATCCATTTAGAAGGTGTTGTGACCAAAAGTAAGTACAACACAAGCAAATATACAAGTGCAGGTGTATACCACAGATATGTCCAGATGATGATTAAGTTTAGGTTAGAAAGAAACTGACCACAGTAATGCATTAATTTCTGTAATATTTATATTATTGGTCCCATATTTTGTTATGTTTTTATCAGTTATTCACCAATGAAATTAATATTCATTTATTTTTTTCAAATGTATGCTTTAACCCACTCAATGTCAGAGAAAATATATTCAGATAAAAGAAGCAGTTAAAAAAAGTGTATTTTTTCTACTGGCTTTTTCACTTTTTATACTAATTAAACATTGAAAATTGAAGTTTAATGTTTAACAGGAATCCTCTAACCATAGGTATACTGCCACTCATAAGCAGTTTTGTATAGCCAGATGCATTCTTTCATTCGATTTTTAAAAATTAAGATATTATTAAAGTTCTAAAGAAAGCAATGGCCTCAGAAGATTGGAAAAGTTTCTTGAGACTTAATTTTCTCTTTTTCTTAAAAAAAATAGAATTTCACGTTTATTTTATATGTGTGTTAGTGTATTGCAAATGAATGTGTTTGTGTAGAATGTCTCCCAGCAAAAGATTTCAAATAATTTTTAGTCACTCAATAAAGCATTTATGTGGCCTTATTTTCTTTTAGTCTATTCATTGTTTACCATTCCTACATATTGTGGTTCCTTCCTTCACCCCTATCAGTCTAAGGACTACTTACTAAAATCATCAAAAAATTGTGGCAGGGATCATTCTCTAGATTTTTCTTTCAAGAATTTGTTCAACCTCCAGCTTCTATTAATCTATAGTTTCAGATTATATTTGTCAAATACATGTACAAATAATGTGCATTTAATAATGTTCTTAACCAACAAAGTAATTTCAGTTGGGTTAATATTCATTTACATTTTTATTTCAATATGAAAAATTCTTCAAAGCTTAGATTTATTTCTTTCTCCAGTTGAATACCTGCCCAAACATTATTCTTCCCTTAATGGAAACCCAGAGAGTATACTGATAGTACAAAAAGAGCATTCTAAGATATTACTCAAAAAAACATTAGCTGCTAAGCAAAGGTAGGAGTCTGGGACAAGAAAGAAACAGGCAGAAGACAGGAAGAAAACACTATTTTTGAAATTAATAAAAAAGATATTTGATAATGATTATATCCTGCAATGAATGTGTGGGATTATTCAAAGTAAGAATATAGTGTGAAAACTATGGTCATAAGTACAATAAAATAAAATCAGACATTGAGTATGATTATATTCTATTTGAGAGGAAATATCTCAAAAGGATAATAGTGTATCAGTGACAGCATGTGGAGCTAGATACTATAAAAACAAGAGACATACTAAAATAGCCAGTACCCTGGTATACACCTGTATTCCTACATACTAAGGAAACTGAGGCAGGCGGATTGCCTGAGTCCAGGAGATTGAGGGTAGCCCGGAAAACATAGCAAAGCCCTGTCAAAGGGAGAGATAGAAAGAAAATACTGAGAGAGAATCATATTAAGAAGTCTCAGTAAATTTCTTTCTTATGCAAGAATCATATTATTTAATATAAAATAGTTTTTAATGATACTAGTAATAATAATGGTAAGCAAGTATTTGGCAAATTGTTCATGTTCATCTCATCCTTCATGGTCATCAAATTTAACTTCCTAAAATTAATTCTCATTAGGATTTCATAGCACCCAGAATAAACATAAAGCTCTGTGGGCAGTTGATCCACCTTCTATAATAAATTAAGATGGAATGCCAGATGATTGTTACTATCATGTGCTTTAGTTACCTTAGTGTTGCTGTGATCAAAATACCTGTCAAGAACAACTTAAAGAAGGAAATTTTTATTTTGGCTCATTGTTTCAGAGGTTCAGTTCATGGTCCAACAAATCTGTGGCTCTGGGCCTGAGGTGACGCAGAACATCATGGAGGAAGGGTATAGTGAAGGAAAGTAGCTCAGAACATAGCAACAAGAAGAAGAGAGAGAGCTCATCTTAATGACAGACAAAATATAAACTCCAAAAGCTCACCCCCAGGAACCTATTTCTTCCATCCAAACCCTACCTGCCTATAGTTACCACCCAGTTAAACCATATCAGTGGTTTAATCCACTGATTATGTTAAAGCTCTCATAACATTATTGTGAAGATGACATGAATTAATACAGATAAAGTTTGTAGTGGACATGTCACAGAGTAAGTACTCAATAAGTATGAAGTTTTTACATATCCATTTATCGATTTTCCTATGCTGAACTCCTCTATATCCATATTTCTCATTGCCTGCTTCTCTGAGACTTGTACCATCAAGTTTACTGTCATTTTAATTTCTTGAAAATTCTATTCAAACTCTATTAGCTCCATAAGAAAATCACTTATCATGTAGTCCTGAAGGAATCTTTTATTTTTTTTGAATATTGTGCTCATATAAGATTTTTTTCAGCAGTCTATAATGTTCTCTAATTTGCTACAGAAGTCTTATCAAAGTTTTCATTTAATTTCATCTCTTTTGCAAATATTTTTTAGTCTCCTTTTAACAATGTATGCTCTGTGAAGAGGCAGATAATGACCTAAATATTCATATAAGCCTATTTTTCTGAATTTATGCCAATCCTTGATGTTACTTAAACATTTTGGACATCAATGTCACATAAAATGGAGAAAATAATATTTATCTTAAAGGATTATTATAGAGATTAAATTAAAATGTGTGTTTATATATGTGTGTATACAAAAGCATATGTGTGTGTGAACAAAATTATATTTAATTATATAGTCTAAAATTATATATTTTAATATATATGTTAATGAATATTTTTATATTAGTGGATGATGTCAAAAAGCTATTAGAAGTAATATTTATCAGGTACAGTGGCGCAGGCCTGCAATCCCAGTGGCTCTGGAGGCTGAGGTAGGAGAATCTCAAGTTCAAAGCCAGCCTCAGCAATGGCAAGACACTAAGCAACTTAGTGAGACCCTGTTGGAAAATAAAATACAAAATAGGACTGGGGATGTGGCTCAGTGGTTGAGTGCCCCTGAGTTCAATCCTTGGTACCAAAAATAATAAATACATTAATACATAAATAGTAAATATTATCCATCTACCTTTTTAACCCCTAATATATTACAAGGTCTTCGTTTTTTGTAAGCAAGTACTCACTGAGCTAAACTCTGAAAACCTCTTATAGTAATATAGCCAAAATTTTAATATATGCTGTAAAAACCTTTATCTTTAGAAACAAATATCAATATCAAGAAAAGATTACCTCCAAATTCTGTGAATTATATCATAAAAAAAATTTGTACTGTGGTTAGGTTTCAATTTTCAACCTTCTGGTCAAATATTCTGTTTGATGTTGCAACCCAACATAAATCTACACATATAAGGAAAGCAAAATATAAATACTTAAAATATGTCTTTGTTTTTAATTTTCTGACCTACAGGAATTGAAACTGTAATTCCTCTTTTTAAATGTAGTTCTAAATGTTCAACTTAGGAAGTCTTCAACTTGTTTCTAATTTACTATGTTGCAACTCACTTTATTTGTGTCCTTAATTTCATGCTCTCTGATCTGATGCTAATTTATTCAGCAATTATTCTCAACCTGCAGCAAACAGATAATGAGACATAAGTGCAACTAAATCTTGTGATTTTTCTGATTGAAGCTGAGGTGGGGAGTCTAAAGTAACATTCCTTTGGGTGATGTCATTGAGAGACTCCAGCTTTCTTCTGTTATTGCCTTACCTGCTGAATCAGGGAGACCCCATTCAGATTCTTCCTGTGATTTATTGGTACACAGCATACATTATACATTACACACACACACACACACACACACACACACAAATGCTTATTATATACATTTATTTATTTATTTATTCATTCATTCATTCTGAGGGGTTTCGTGACAAATGACATTAAGAACCCAAAGGTCCTGGCTTAATTGACTCATCTGTAATGTAAGACACTGTAGTGTAATATACACAGTGCCAGTTTTTACTATTTAATGAGATTCAAGAAAAAAATAAAAAGGAGAAAAATTTATAATTTTCCCATTGCAGCATGTTTAGCTGCTTAAGATTTCTTTTCCCACCAGTGGAAAGTTATCCACTGACTAAAGGAATATTTATATTAAGTCTTGGAATTATTCATAGTTTTATTTCTTAATTCAGAAGCATGTACCATTCCCTTATAAAAATAAATTTAAACAAAATATTAGAGGGACCATAAAGTAATCTCTCTTTCTATGACCTAAGGAAATAATACAGCCAATGACAACTGGTTACTTATATTTCCAAAAAGTTCACTTATTACACACATCGATAATTATGTTTCAAATATATTAATTTATCATGTCTTACAAGGTCATATTCTTTTTAAACTCCCTTTTTATATTAACTGGTGCTATTCCAACAATCTTCAAGCTAATCTTTCATTTTGGCATTGCCCTACTTTAGTACACTCCCCACATATTGTCTTTAGATAAATTTAACTAAATCCCTGATCTTCTGTTCTGTTCATTACCAAAAACTGACCAAAATGTGTATACTTTGATACTTAATCTGATATAATTTGTTCACATTTGCATATTCCATTATTTCCTTTTTAAGCATGCTCTACTGAGTTCTTGTTATGCTTCTTTGAGATACCCTCACTCAGCTTTAGAATGTCCTCTCCTCTTTCTTACTTGACCTTTAGGTTTAATTCCAATATGACCTTCTCCATGAGATCAAGGTCCTCTGTCTCCAGTTTTCTTTCAAGCCCGAGTGTCTGCATGGTAAAGAGTAGACACTCCCCAATGTTGAAGAGCTAAGTGAAGGAAAGCATCTTAATTCTACACAAAGCACAGGCTTCGTAAGGAAAGCTACAGAGGCCAGAGGTTCCTAGGTCCTGAAACCAGTGCCCAACATGTGCAGAGGCTTCATGTACTTGTTGAATAAATGCATTCTTAGCCAGAGGCAATCTTATCAGTGCCAGCAGCATTTCTCTGCACTT